CACACACACACACACACACACACACACACACACACACACACATGGATGGTTTGTTATGATTTGTGGAGGAAATGAGAGAGAGAATCTGGGATGCCATAACAACACACACACACGCAGCCTTGTAAATGAGAGGCATAGTAAAAGGGGAGCTGCAAGAACAATTGAAAAGGATACCCCAAAGAAAGACAAACGGATTTCAATGGACTTATTGTGCTCCATGTTACTTGCGATAGAGATAAAACTGTTCCATTGTTGGAATGTCTCAACTCGAGTGTGCTTCATTGTCTGCAATAGGACTAAAGCTGCTCTGTGGTGAAAATTCAAAACACACACACACACACACACACACACACACACACACACACACACACACACACACACACACACACACACACACATTTGATTCATACATGGCCTAATTCTTTGCCCTGCTGTAGAGCATAGGCTGTTTGTTGATGAAGCCATGTATGTGGGCGGCCAAATTGTTTTTGGGCGGGGATGTTTGTTTGGAGTCATGGTCACGGTATCTTCGCAAGGAGTCTCAGAGAGTCTTTTGCTGTGGGTGTCACTCCGACGGGCTGCCCTTTTGGAGCACATGGAAGATGGTGGTGCTTCCATGGTGTTTTAAGCAGTGGTGTTCCTTGTGTCGCGTGGAGATTCTGTGAATGTTTGCTTGGAGTTCTGGCCACAGTATCTTGGCAAGGAGGCTGAGAGAGTGTCTGTGGTGGGTGCCATTCCCATGGGCTGCTCTTTTGGAGCACATGGAAGAAACGGGGACTTCCAGGGTGTTTTAAACAGTACCCTTCCAGGTGTCGGGCGAAGATCTTGTGGTCTTTGGGATTATGGTACTCCAGAGGCTAGACAGCAGATGGGGACTGTTTAGCCATGGAGTGATAGAGATAGCAGTGGCGTGAGTGTGTAATTTCGGAGGAATAGGAGTGCCAGTGCTGCTGTGCTTGTGCGCTGACTAAGAGGGCTCTCCAAGTTTTCTCGGACCATGCTGCCTCTGGCCGGTGCTTTCTTTGCTGGTGGAGCCTTTTGTGTTAGGTATGTTCCCTTCTGCCCTTTACCTTTGTTTTCATAGATTGAAAACCTTACATATATTTGTGCAAGTGTGCCACTTCGGCGACAGACAAGTGTGTGGGCACTTCCTGCTCAACCACACAAATGTGGGGAACCTTGCACCTTCTATTATATTGCTCATCTATACTTTTTTTGTTTGTGGATGGTATGAGGATAGAATAACAGAGAGAGCTTGGGGATGTTGACTAACACACACACATGGAGGTAAACACACTATGCCAGTGTGCTCTTTGACCGTTTTCATACAAAGAACAGTTGCTTCCATGACACTTTCATGGATTGTCCAAGAATAATATATGCAGGGCCGCAGAATTATCAGTTGTCCGTGGTGCTTGTCAATTCTGGTAGCCAACCGTGGCTACCGGGCCCAACACATTGTCCACAACAGAGGCAGAGCAAATCCCCTTGCTGCCAGGGCTTCTGGCAAGTTTTACTCTTCTGTCATTGACTAGACAAACAAATGCACTAGAAGCCTTTCTCACTTTTGCACGCCGCCCATTAAAACATGTGGCTCTGGAATGAGATGGATGCATGCCAATCACGCCCATATACACAGTCCATGAAAACAACCATAGCCTCATACATAGTCTGTCAACATCACTTCATGAACTAGGGTGAGTATTGACATCACCCATTGGCATATGCCTTTTCGCCTTTCCATGAGTACCACACTCAATGTGCATCCAGTTGCACGCCCGGAGAGTAACAACACCAAACAGCAATCTCTATCGCCAAAAAGCACCAATTTTGCCACTATGCCCATCTTGCTGTTTGCTCCTGAATTAACCACTCCAGCCAGTGTAATACACAGACCTGACCTAAGACCTGGGAAGCAATGGCTTTTCCTAACCTGCAGACAGGAACAGGTTTACAGCTAAGCTTACCTCCATTTTTCTTCCTACTTCTCTCTCCATGCGTATATAATACACAGATGGCAGGAATCTAAGGACTTTTTCCTTGACAAATAAGAACTAGCCCCATCTCATCTCATGTTGCACACCAGCCCCATGACTTGGGCTGTTTCTCCATGCGCCTGGGCAAGAATTTTGTGCTAGGACACACACACGGCCGCCCCGCTGTGCAGGACCTCAGTGCGGAGCCTCGGGTGGCCTCAGCACAAAAGAAATAAATAAATAAAATGACAAAAACTTGAAAAAAGAAAAATCTGGAAAAAAACTATGTTGCGCAGGATGGCACTGCACTCAACTTTTGGCTCAGGGTCGCCTCAGAATTCCTAACAGAATCGAAACAAAAAGGAAAATTAGAACTTCAGACTAAGACACCCCCCTCTAAGCCCGTCAAGGCTTAGGCCCCTTTCATCCCCATTTATACCTCCCTTCCCGCCCCCGCAATGGACAACATTGAAAAACAAGAGAGAGTCCCAGATTTGGACTACTTTCACTGCGAACAGAAAAGCCCCTTCGATAAAAAATAAATAAAAATAAAAATAAAAAACATTCCTGGAGTTTCTACATGCTTGGTGGTACCCCGGGCGAGCAGACGGCTGGGTGGCCTGCATGGGTGACCGGCCAAGCATGCACGGCCGGGCGCCGCTAGTGGCCTACGCCATCAGTCAGGCATGCTGTAATTTTGTTCGCAGATCATGCACAGCTGGGCGCCCCTGGTAGCCTACGCCATCAGTCAGGCATGCTGCAACTTTCTTCCCAGATCATGCATGGCTGATGCGTCCCTGGTAGCCTACGCCATCAAGCAGGCATGCTGCAATTTCCGTCCCAAATCAAGAGCCACACATGCTATGCCGATATGCCCACAAACAAACCAAGGATGACACCAGTAAACAACAACACAACTAACCTCGGCGTATAGCTGCGACCTACAAAGCGTCCTTGAGATGGCGAGATCTTGATGATTCGCCCATAAGGGTCATTCGTTCCTTCTGCAATACCCGCCCACCAGCCCACCTGCAGCCAATCAACAGCAAAATCCCCACCAAAAAGGCAGAAGGAAAAGGAGGGGGGGAAATCCCGACAAACACGAGTATCTTAAGTCACCGCTATGTTTGATAACCACATTCACCACCAGAACTATTTCAGCAACCCACCTCCTGCCTCCACCCCTCCAACTGGCTATGCATGGATGCACAGCCCCCTCTAGGCACCAGCCACGCTGGTCCTCTATGATCAGGACCTCTCCTCCATAACCACCTGAATCGTCAACTACTGCCTTATGCCAGACAGAATCCATGGGGATTAAGACATTTGGAGATACAATCAAAGCATCTCTACTGGAGCACTCTAGTGGGTAAACCATGCACACATTTGGCTCATGATAAACAGACCAGGAGTAGCTTCAAACCATACTTGCAACTGCACGTGCACTGCGCTCTTACGCCACTATGAGCAATACAACACAGAAAAACTAGGTGTGGCTCACAACAAACTACAAAAAATAAATAACGACCCCTTTCCCGATTACTGATGAGATTGTCAGTGCTTTCCTATTACTAGCTCCCTTTCGGGTCAGGCAAGTACTATGGGTCCTATGACTTCCAACAGGTACATCAAATGCAGCAGTTGGATCTCGCTGGTATCACCTATAGGCTTTAATGTTGGAAGTTGTTGTTTAGTCACCTGTCCCCCAATAGGTGGGTAATCAAATCCCATACAGTGAGTATGCGCCATTCCTATTTGGACCTTACCTGAAAATTAAATCGTTTTCGATTTTTGTAGATTCGAAGAATACAAGTTGGAACTTGGAAGTGTTTTAGCCCAAAACTAGCTCAAGATAACGGTTTCCCCCCCCCCCCCTCAAGATAACGTTTTACATCTATGCTACCGGAGTCGGCCGGGACAACTTGCCCGGCGGGGCCAAAAAGAAAATAAATAATTACTATTATAGTATTATTATTATTATTATTATTTTAATTGGTAAAGAATTTCAACGTGACCCTGAGGCAAAAGTTTGTTTGTTTGTTTGTTTGTTTGTTTGTTTGTTTTTTAACTACACTATGTTCTTCTCTCAAATTATTTTTGCCTTTCACTACCTTCCTACCACTATTCCTAAGACTATATAGAGGGGACACCTGCAAGCATAGGGCCTCGCAAACGAGGTAAATCATGTTGCCCCCCGCCCCAACAGCGGTAGTCAGAGATGGCGTGGGGCCGCCAGTGGGGGTCCGGCTAACGCCGAGCATTTTGCTGTCTACTGCACGCACCCCTAACGAACTGCACAGAGGTTGGCAACCCCGACGCCCGATTGACAGCTTGAATCCAGATCAGATTCAAAGACTGCCACCCGGTACAAGGGAATTTTCCATTCAATACGAGAAGAATCTAAAACAGGTCAAGACGAACATCCTTAAGGGCCAGCACAAGATGGTAGAGCAAGCTAACAAACATCGACAACCATCACAGTTTGCAGTAGGTGAGTTGGTATGGGTCAAGTCCAAGGAGTTCATTCCCGAAGAAGGGATCTCGCAGAAACTGTTACCTGCATACAAGGGGCCATGGCAAGTCTTAGATGTCAAAGGAGAGGCAGATGGTCCGTCCTACTCTATCCAGATTCCGCCCCACCTGCACACACACCCAGTATTCCACGCATCTAAGTTGCTTTCCCTCCCAACGTTCCATGATTCCACCAGATATGGACGGAGGTTATGATGTAGACCGAATAGTGGTCGAAGATACTTTCCGCACAGGCCGCAGAGGAAGGCCACAGCGGCAATATAAGGTCAGGTTTGCCTACCGGGAGCCCAGCGAAGACCACTGGTTCCCCAGGGAAGAACTGATACAGACGGCCCCTCAGATTGTCTCCTTCCATGAGAAGACCCGAAGAGGAATGAATGTGTATGGTAGATAAAGATGAGATTTTTCTCGGAGGACCTCGAAATTAGGCTGGCGGGAGTGAAAGGATTCACGCTGCAGACACCCAAGTCCCAGTCCTAGAGTCCCGAAGTGTCCCAGTCCCAGGATGTCCCAGTAGGATAGGTCGTAGGGTGTGTAGTCCAAAGCGTCGTAGGTTGGAAGGTGTCGGTACCGAAAAGTCTTAGGTCAATAGAAGTCCGTCCAGTACCCAATGAGAAAAGTCCAGAAGAGTCCAGTCCAGGCCGACAGTTCCAAGTCCAATTTGCAGCAATGTCCCAGGAAAAGTGTGGAAGTTACCGGACCGACAAAATGTTTGCAGCAGACAGGCCACGGCCGACCGGTACTGGTCTGAAGAAGGCCAAGCCAAGCCAAGCCAAGCCAAGTCACGTGCACTTGCAAGTATGGTTCAAATCTTGGTGAATTACAATAATTTAAGACAATGATAGGGAATACACCTGGGGGATATTTCCGGGCACAAGGGCCACTCAGGCAAGGTGGGTGACGTGGCTGGAGTCCTGGGAGTTGGCACCTAGGTTCACTCAGTAGGTAACCTGGCAGCCTCAGGGCCGTCCCGAGAGCTGCCAGGTGCCTGCAAAATTTCACAGGCCATTAGGGTCCCCTTTTTTATATCCAGATCTCGGCTGTTGATTTGCCAAGATCAAGGGCTGAGATTTGGATCAAGTTTAGGATAGAGCACACCATCTGTCACTCGGACCATGGGCACTCAAATTCAAATGCCCATCACCCAGGCAAAAGTTGTTCTCATCCTCCGTGAATGCTGCGAACTTCATCGTCGTCAACCGTGCCATTGTCGCCACCACCCCAGCAAACTTCGTTGCCATTGCCCTCGCCATCACCCCAGCCATCTTGCCAGGTCAGTTGTCCTCCCCTCCTCTTTTTCTCCTCCTCCTCCTCCCCCTCCTCCACTCCCCCCTCCACCTCCTTTCCTTCTCCTCGTCTCTTCCCCTCCTCCCCCTCCTCTGCCTCCACCTCCTCCTCCTCTTCCTCCTCACCCGTCCTGGCAATCAATCACCCCACATGGATGCCTTATATCCAATCATCTTCTTTCTTCTCCTCCCCTTCCTCCCCATCCTCCTCTCTTCTCTTCCTCTGCCTTCCCTCCTCTTCTTCTCCTCCTACACCTCATCTTCTCCTCCTCTGCCTCCTCTTTTCTTCTCCTCCTCCTCCTCTCCTCCTCCTCCCCGTCCTGCTCTTGCTCCTACTCTGACTGGTCCCATTAAATTTTAAAATGTCAGACCAAGCTTTGCCGAAATGTAGATGAACATCTGCACATGCTGTACAATTCATGCACTGTGCCATCTCCAAGTCTAGGTACATGCTGTCATGGCTAGTTGAAACATTTTTACAGACTGGTTGTCGTCCTCCTGGCCCCGCTTCCACATGATCACTGTGCCCCTTCTATCCATGCTACCGTCTTACCCCAAACACAAAGCAACCCCGTCATGAATGTGTGGAAGTCATCGTTTCTGTTGCGATACAGTCATTATGGAAGACGGAGAAGTAACCACCTGCCTTGCCATTCCATTGCTTCCTCCCCACCCTGCCCCTCCTATTCCCAGAGTAGCCCTCAACATTTTCATATTGAACCCCCAATTTACTGATTAATAGCCCAGCGTGTGTGTATAGCACTCAAACACTACTCCAGGTACACTGTCATGCAATGACTTGAATGTTTTTTTCTGAAATCTCATTTGGCGGACCTCTCCTCATCCTCTCTCGAGTTTCCCCTCTCTTCCTCCTCCTCCTTGTCCACCTCCTCCTCCTTGTCCACCTCCTCCTCCTGCCACTGCGATGCAATGTGCTCTGGTCAATAAAAATATCTGGTGTTTATGTTTCCCCTCCCCTCCTCTTTCTGCTACCCCTTCTACTCCTGCTGTTGCCGATGTCACGTGCTCTGTCCAAACAATTCTGTTAACATCACTTTGCCATTCAAGTTTCCCTTCTCCGCCTCCTCCTCTTCCTCTTATTCAATTTTGTTGTAGGCATGAGCATGGCAGGTAATTTCTCCTCCTGCACCACCTCATCCCTCCCTCCCCATCCTCCTCCTCATCCTTTTTCTATTATTAGGTTGAGTGAAAAGGTTGAATGAAACACGCACTGGCTTTTATGTTTCCCCTCTCCTCCTCTTCCTCCTACCCCTTCTCTTCCTGCTGTTGCCAAAGTCATGTGCTCTGTCCAAACAATTCTGTTAACGTCACGTTGCTGTTAAAGTTTCCCTTCTCCTCGTCCTCCTGCCCCCGATCCTCCTCCCCCTCCTCCTCTTTGCTCTGTCCAAACAATTCTGTTAACGTCACGTCGCTGTTAAAGTTTCCCTTCTCCTCCTCCTCCTGCCCCCGAGCCTCCTCCCCCTCCTCCTCTTCCTCTCATTCAATTTTGTTGTAGGCATGAACATGGCAGTTAATTTGTCCTCCTTTGTCTCCTCCTCCCCCCTCCCCCTCCTCCTCCACATCCTATTCCTATTATTAGGTCGAGTGATTCTTCGCCTCCTCCTCCCCCCTCCCCCTCCTCATCCTTTTCCTATTATTACGTCGAGTGAAACACACCCATAACTCCTTTTCCTATTATTAGGTTGAGTGAAACACACCCATAACTGTTGATCCAGAGGTGAAGAGTTCAAAGGATGCTGTAGGGGTAAACCATTCACAACCCCCCCCCCCACCACTTCCACCGCCACCTCCTACTCCGACACCTCCCCCTCCTCCTCCTCCTCTGCCGCCTCCACCTCATTCGCCACCGCCTTCCCTTCCTCTTCTTCTCCACCTGCGCCGACACTGCCTCCAAACACAGAACGGCAGGATTTGGTAACCTCTTAACGAACATCAAAGAACCTGCGTTTGGCCAGAACTTGGTGGCTGCAGAGATGCTCCACCACTGAAAGAAAAAGGGGGCAGGAGTTTTTTCATGCCCGGATACCCTTGTGCGGCCAGACGGCCGGGCGATTGCAGGGGTCCACGGCCAGGCACCCCTCCTAACGCAGGGATACACACTTTTAGAAAGAAGAAAGAAAGTACCCTGAACACTTATGCCTCCTGGCGGCATGGTCTGCTTCTGTTCTTGCTGATCAAATTTCTGCGACCAATCCCCTGTTCACATGATGAGTGATTTCACAGGACTCTGCGCAGCTGCTTGTGAAGACAGCAGCTTTGCGCCTAATGAACGGAATGGCAGAGTGGTGGGGATCCACCCCAGAGAACTTCACGAGTTCAAACATGCCTCTGGAGGACTAGAGTTACAGAAAGATCGCATGCTTTTTGTCTGCTTCCTCTGGCGATGAGCACAGCTGAAACCTGGGACAATCATGTCACAAGAAGGTTCTGGTTGCATCGCGGATATCCCGTTGAAACGCCTCCACGTCAAGATCATTACCACCAAAGCCCTAATACATGTCTAGAATCCTGGCTCTTACCTTCCATGAACGTCCCCCTCATGACTCCTAAGATCACAGGGCCCTAATGCATCTCTAGAATCATGGCTTTTACCTTACATGAACTTCCCTCTCATGACTCCTAAGATCACAGGGCTCCCTTCCATGAAACACTCCGTGTTGCATAAAACCTTTTCACCTCTCTTTTTCTTTTCCTTTTTTCTTGGTGTTGGGAACAGGAAGGAGAGTAGAGAGGAGGGGGGAGAGGGGGGGAGAAGGTGGGCTGGGGTTAGGGGGGGAGAAGGTGGACTGGGGTTAGGGGGGGGGGGGGGGTTAGAAGCATGTCCCATTATCTTGTAGTTATGTCCATGCGGAAGTCGAAGGATAGTGAAAAGTAGAAGAGGCAGGGAAAGGGAAAGAGCCATTAGTCAACTAGCAGTGTCAGAAGGCACTATCAGCACAGTGTGAGATATGGTGGGATGAAGCCATAGATTGAACAAATAGCATACCAGTCCAGCAAAACCTTCATCTCGTAGCTTAGCAGCATCACTGTAGCGCTCCTCTGCAAGGGCTCTCTGCACGGCGAACAAGAATCACAACTCAGAATTACTTCTGCCTACCATTGCACACGATCTAAATCAACACCAACAATACATAACTTTCTCCACCTTCATAGAGCTTACATACATACTGCAGCATACAGTGTCGCAACATAGCCCACAACCCATTCAAGAGCGCAACAAAGAATTCTCATACACTTCAATAGTAGCAGTTGCATATCAAGATCAAGGTGAATAAAAGCGTACAGAAGCTAGCACAATGACCAAAGTCATTTTGCAGTCTCGGATGTCTCTGTCTTCTGAGTTTTATCCATCCAGTGATTCTGCTGAGATTTCTGTCAGTCCTAAGTGAAGTCTGAGTGTGTGACAAGGATGCTTAGAGCTTGCCTGCGGGCTGATCTTTGTCTGTCTATGTGCTGGTTGAGTGTCCAAGCTAAGTTTGAAGTCACAGAGAGTGATTTACCTGCAACTCAGGGAATTTGTAAAGGAAGAACTGAAATTTCGGCTAAACAGGTAAAGCCTTGGGCAGATAGGCCGGAATTTCAGACTTCCAGACCATACAGGCCATCTCAGTGAACTCCGGACTGCATATCTACTCCATGTTTGAGCTGCACTGCACTTCTGGGACCCCGTACTGGTCATGAGAGAAGTGGATGATGTGAGAGAAGGGTTGTGTGTGTGTGTGTGTGTGTGTGTGTGTGTGTGTGTGTGCAAGAGAGAGAGAGAGTGAGAGAGAGAGAGAGAGAGAGAGAGAGAGAGAGAGAGAGAGAGAGAGAGAGAGAGAGAGAGAGAGAGAGTGCGAGCACAACATTTAGTTTGCGGTCTACATTCCTTGAGCATCTGTCAGTCCTTGCCGTCAAGTTCTGCTAGCGTCTGAGTGTGTGTGTGNTCTCTCTCTTTCTATATATATATATATATATATAGAGAGAGAGAGAGAGAGAGAGAGAGAGAGAGAGAGAGAGAGAGAGAGAGAGAGAGAGAGAGAGAGAGAGAAGCTTTTTATCTGGACGCTAGAATGATCCACAATGTACCAAAGTGGCAAAAGAGTAATAAATTAATATAATCCATGAGGTGATGAGGCAGGAGGAGAAAAACTCCATTGTGCATTTCCTCAACTTCTTTCTCTCTCTTCATAATCTATTCTTCATTTCTCAGTCTTCATACTGGGGTTTCTTTGCAATAGAGAGGTTCAATCTTGGCTTTCCAGTCCCAATCTGAGGAAGGACCATAACATTAGAAGAACAATCCCTCTCATCCATTCCTGCAGACAGCATAACAACAGCATGGGTAATAATAATAACTCCATAGGGGAAGCTTCTCATTCAACATCTCACAACGAAGGACTTTACCCATTAAATCTCCACACGAAGTCCTGCTCCTGCAGGACTCCAGATGGTCCTAAAAATCGGTTCTTCTGTGTGATGGCAGAAAAGTAATGCACATTAATGAGCCAGCCCCAAATGCCTGCACCGCTACATGATTAACCGAAGTATACTGATATTGATTGCACAATAAGACTAGTAGAAGGTAATCAGGAGGGTCAGACAACAAGCAGATACCCATGCCCTGCACCCACCAAGTAAGCTGGAGACCTGCAGCCTTTTGCAGGCATCCCACCATGCACAAAAGCGTTCCATCACAAGCACACTAAAGGGCGTACTTGCATCAGAAGACCTTTCTGGATGAAACTGGCCGTATACCGTCAGATACATCGAGAAAGTCCCCGCGTGAGTTTGCCTTCATTGTCACCTCTCTGTCACACTTTCATGTTTCCTATCTTAGCCTTCAAGTTTCGGCAATAAGTGTGCAGTGCTAGTCTGGTTGTGTATGGTTGTTGCATGCACACCCCTGCCTGACGGTTGTGCTCTTTCATCTCTGGATCCCAGCACTGCAGGGAGATGCATAACCAAAGCAGTGTAGGAGCTGTGGGTCCATCTCCACAGATGGGAGAGAAGCAATCAGCAATGCAGGAATGAATGTTAAGTCACTAAGGGGATGTGTGGCAAAACGGAGCTGTGGACTGGGTATGCCCACCACAGTGGAACCTCGAGGTGGCACGTCTATTCCACCAAGTCACAATGAAAGACTTTTACTGGACACAGCTGCCAAAATATGACGTGCGGACGGAAGAGTGCCGGAATGATGAAGGGGGTGTGTGGCAAAACGGGAGTTGGACGGCTGTGATGGTCAGGTTTGGCAACAACTTTTCCAGACTCTCATGTCCCTCCCAGATCAAAGACAAGCTGGGTTGTTATCGTTAATAGCGCACCTGGCGGTCACAAGGCCGAATGCCAGTCAAGACACTTCGGCTCCCAAAAGGCTGATGGAAGCTTTTGCAGCAGTTTAATAACTGGCTCGGAAAGGAATCCAGGTAAAAGTACTTGGAAGAACGCGTAGTATGTAATGACCTGACCAAACACGGACTGAGACGCACAGCTGATTTCTGAGTTTTGCTCATTGAATGAACGCCTTGCTGAGTTTCCTGCTTGTTACTCAGTTCTCTAAGTCTGTGTGTGTGCACGCTTGCTGGTCTGCATGTCTGTCTGAGTGCTTGTCGGCTTGAGTGTGTGTGTGACCCGCAAGGGTACTTGTTCGTTCAGTGGTACTTACCTGTGGCCGTGACATTGAGGATTGCAGCGGGGGAAAACACTCAAGTGGCGGGGAAAGAGGCCCACAACACTTGAAGCAGCGGAAAACACTCGAGTAGCAGGTAGGCCGCTACCACACCAGGTAGAGGTGGATGTGCCGGGTGCTCGAGGCCGAGCAGAAGAAGACAAGGTTGGCATTTTTAGAGGTCCAGTAGTTGTAGGCTAGGTCTAGGCGGGTACCAGTCCAACCAGTCTGCGGCTAGGGCCTGTACGGGCAATATCAGAGTGCAATGATGTTTCTCTCCGAAAAGGAGGAGGTACCGGTTGTTCGGAGGCCGCACGGCCTAGGAAGTCACTCACCAAGAGGCAAGCAGGCAGCTGTATCTCCAGAAGGAGTCAGTTGCTCCTCCTCATTGTCAGTGTGCAAGTTTCGCGACACACTGGTTGGAGCGCTGGCTGGAGCAGTGCTAGCACTCAGCTGCACTCCTGGGGAAGGAGCAAGGACACGGAGGAAGAAGACCAGGACTAGGAAAAGGAGCGCCAGAGGTACTTCCCTGGCTATGGTGGTTGCCATCTTCATCACCTTGGTGGGCGCTGCAGCAGGAAGGCCCAGTTGGGGCAGACTTACACCAAGAAGCTTCGAGGCAGAGTCAGGCATGGAGGCCTGAGCCAGAGCAGCCATAGCTGCTTTGTGTTGTCCTTTGGACAGCAGGGCGATGCCCTGGTAGTCCACCATAGCCTCGGCCTATGAGGAAGAGAGAGATAGGGACGGCCATGGCTATGGTGGAACTCAAGTGATACCTGCAGTAGAAGAGGGACTCAGACATTGATTCCGGATCAGCCATTCAACATTGTTATTATTGTTCTTGTTTGAATAAGAGGGGAGAAGATAAGGAGGAGGAGAGTGATCGGCGAAGGAGAAGAGCATTAGCATTGGTCTATGCTGGTGTACATCATCTTCTTCTTCTTTCTTTCTTCTTCTTCTCCTTCTTACCCTCTCTCTCCTCTCAAGTTCATTTCTTTTTGCAATTGGACGGCATTGTACTTTCTGATGAATGTGTACTTCGAAATTGGCCAAGATCATAACATAGTAAGTCAAAGGAACAAAGTCCACAGACAACCACCCCTCGGTCTCTTGAAAACGTTGTCCATTCCTTCCTCACCTGGTGAATCAGTCTCTATTGACTTCTGTTACGATCCTGGCCAATTTCGAAGTACACAATCATCAGAAAATGTCGTCCAATTGCAAAAAAAAATGAATGAATTTGAGAGGAGAGAGAGAGAAAGAAGAAGGAGAAGAAGAAGAAGAAGAAGAAGAAGAAGAAGAAGAAGAAGAAGAAGAAGAAGAAAGAAACAAAGAAGAAGAAGATGATGTACTCCAGCATAGACCAATGACAATGCTCTTCTTCTTCGCCAACCACTCTCCTCCTCCTTGTCTCCTCCCCTCTTATTCAAACAAGAAATAACGATAATATTGTTGAATGGCTGAACCAGAATCACTACAGCAGGCACAACATGAGGTCCACCATAGCCATGGCCACTCTTCCTCTTCCTCTTCATGTAGGCCAAGGCTATGGCGGACGACTGAGGGCTCCATCCTCCTGTGCAAAGGACAACCCAAAGCAGCTATGTCGCTGCCCTTCTGTGCAAAGGACAACGCAAAGCAGTTAAGCCACTGCTCATTAAGCCGCCATGCTCAACTCTACCCCGGGCCTCCTTGGTGTGGCACTACCCCAACTGGGGCCTTCCAGATGCAGCGCCTATCAAGGTGATGAAGATGATGTCCACCATAGCCAGGTAGGTACCTCGCCACTCTCCTCCTTGGTCCTCGTCTCCTCCTCCTCCTACCGGTAGAGCTCCACCATAGCCGAGGTGGAAGCTCCTGGGCTCTTCCTCCCAGCAGCGCTGTAGTAGTCAGCGCTCCTCCAGCCAGTGCTCCAGCAGTGTGTCACCAAACTTGCACACTGAAGAATGAGGCTGGGCTCTTAGCTCAGCCTCCAGATATAGCGGCCTACTTGCCTCCTGGGCGGTGACTTCCAGGCCGCTCGGCCTCCCAAGCAACCGGTACCTCCTCCCTTTCGGAGGGAAACATCATTGCAGACTCTGATATTGCCCGTACAGGCCCTAGACTCAGACAGGATGGATGGACTGTACCCGCCTAGACCGAGCCTACCGCTACTGGGCCTCTAAAGATGCCAACTTTGTCTTCTTCTGCTTGGCCTCCAGTACCCGGCACATCTACTTCTACTGGGTGCGGTACCGGCCTACCTGCTACTTGAGTGTTATTTCGCTGCTCTAAGTGCCGTGGGCCTCTTGCTCCGCCACTTGAGTGTTTTCCCTTCTGCAACCCTCAATGTCACGGCCACAGGTAAGTACCGGCCCTACGGGCCTCCCAAACAAGCGAGTACCCTTGCGGGTCACACACAC